CGCTGTTTTGTATATTAACTAGGGCTGACCTATAGGTATTTGGGTTATAGTACGTAATGAACGGGACAGTCTGACAAGGACAGGTACAGAGCCTGAGTCTCAAATGCTCTTCAGAAAGGCATGGGGGATGTCCTTCTCCCTGAGTAGCAGGCCTGGTACCCAGTAGGTGCTAATTGATACCTCATCCTGCCGTGATGTGATGTGGCCAAGAGGGAAGCCTAGGGCAGCTAGGACTAGACGAGTAGGGAAGCCTTCATGGTTTTTTAGTGTTGATTCCTAGCTTAATTCTTCTGTGTTCAGGGAGCAGAGTCTCTGTGACTTCAAATCTTCGAAATGTGTTGAAGTTTGCCTTTTCTGGTCAAGCATATCATCAATTCTGTCAGTGTTAGGCACTGGGAAAAAACGTGAGGTCTGCAGGCACTGGTGGCGGTGTCCCTTTTTTCTTTTTTCTGCTTTTTTTTGTGGACCTAGATTAGCCAACCCCCAAATGACACATGATAAGAATGTTGTTTGAAGCCACTGAATGTTGGAGTGGTTTGTTACACAGCATTAATGTGACAATAACTAGCCGATAGGAAGGTAGCTTGTGTCAGCTAAAGAACCCTGAGGAAATGAACAGTGCACGGTGGGCTCAACAGCGTGGAGGAGGAACTTAGGAGACCAGGAACTTTGTTGGAAATAAGTGGGAGGAAGGATTCCGGAATCCAGAGCCATTGTGACGATGCCTGTGTCTTGATTGTTACCCAGGACACCTGGCAAGCTTTCCAGGGGTTTCCTGGTAGCCATGGATAAAGCTCTGACTTTGGATCAGACAGACCTGGATGTGAATCCCAGCCTGGCTCTTTCCTGCTCTGAGCCTTGGAGTTCTTGGCTATAAAATGGGAGAACCCTTAACCTTCCAGAGTTATTGAAGGGGTTGGGTAGAACACTGGCACACACTTGGGGCCCAGAAAACATGGGCTCTTACGATATTATTACAAAATGCTTTCTCATTTCTTTCTGTCCACAAGAACCCTGCAAACGAGAAGATAGTGTCCATGTTTCAGTTGACTGTTCTGAGCAGAAGTTACTAGAACGTGGTCAAGTCAGGACTTGAGCCCAGTTAAGGCCAGCACTTTAGTGCCCTGTTTCGTGTAACCATCTGTTTCGTAGCCAGGGAATCAGAAGCAGTAGAGAAAGCATCTACGTTAGGTATAGGTTCAATTTCTCAAGACTTTCCATGGAATTTCAACATACAGGACAATACACAGATCCCAAGTGATCAGCTGGATGAATTTTCACAAAGTGAACACACTCAGGTAACCAGTACGGTGATTGAGAAATAGACCATGACCAGCACCCCAGAACCCCCCTCCCTACCCCACCAAGGGTAACCACCATCCTGAATTCAAACACCATCGAGTTATCTTACTTTTTCCAAAACAACATTGTGTAAACTGAATTTCGCTTTATGTGAAACTACCCGTGCTGACTGGGTAGTTATAGTTGGTTCATTCTCATGACTGTATTGTGTTTCATTGTGGGACATTTCCATACTACGCCCGTTTCTCCTGAAGGACAGGTGGAGTGTTTTCAGGTTGGCATTATAAATAGTGCTGCTGTGAACAGCTGTCCTCATCTTTTGGCAAACTCACGTACATATTTCTGGTTTCTACAAATTTAGGAGTAGAGCTGCTGCGGATCGGTTCAATTTCATTAGGCCACTTGCCACTTACTAGCTTTGTGAACCAAGGCAAGTTAATGAGCTTCTTTGAGACACTTTTCACGTCTGTATATTGGAAATAAAAGTACTTTCCCCTCAGGATTGTGCCTGGGACAAGGCACCTGCCCCAGGGTCGCCCCCCTTTCTTTCCTCCTTCCTCTGCTGTGCCAGAGCCCCCTCTGCCTGAGCACATGGCTTTTCTGCCAGGCTCCTCCTTTGCCAGGAATCCTCAAACATGAGATTGGAAAGTTCGCCCGCTACCCAGGGCTGCGGGGCCTACCTTTCCCCAGCCCATTCGGCTCTGATTCAATCACTGGCGCCCAGCCCAGCACTGGCTTGCTGTGGTCACCGTCACCGCTCGCTAACAAGTGTTTTTTTAATTTATTTATTTTTGGCCGCCCTGTGTCTTCGTTGCCACGTGCCAGTTTTTCTCTTGTTGCAGCGAGCGGGGGCTACTCTTCGTTGCGGTGCGCGGGCTTCTCATTGCGGTGGCTTCTCTTGTTGCGGAGCACCACCTCTAGGCGCGCGGGCTTCAGTAGTTGTGGCTCGCGGGCTCTAGAGCACAGGCTCAGTGGTTGTGGCTTACGGGCTTAGTTGTTCCGCGGCATGTGGGATCTTACCAGACCAGGGCTCGAGCCCGTGTCACCTGCATCGGCAGGTGGATTCTCAACCACCGCGCCACCAGGGAAGCACTCAGCAAAACTAAGAAATTCACATCAGTAGAATGCTGTTAACTAAACTACGGGCTTTATTTGTATTTCACCAAGTTTTCCACTAATATCTTTTTCTGTTCCAGAATCCAACCCAGGATACCACATTGCATTCAGTATATATATATATATATATATATATACACATACACTATATACATGCATATATAGTTTATCTTACTATCTCTCTTATTTTTATATAAATTTGAAATCTTCTATAATATATTTTTAAAATATATATTGCATATAAATATATATTTATATATTTAAACCTCTTAATTAAAAATATAATATATAATATACATTTGTAATAATATATAATATACATTTGTACATAATATATAATATAATATATATATGCTTAAATTTTTAAAAATTGAAGTATAGTTGATTTACAATATTGTGTTAGCTTCTGGTATACCGCAAAGTGATTCAGTTTTTTATATATATATATATATAAAAAACTGAATATATATATATATTCTTTTTCATATTTTTTTCCATTATAGTTTATTATAAGATATTGAATATAGTTCCCTGTGCTATGCAGTAGGACCTTGCTGTTTATCTATTTTATGTATAATAATTTGTATCTGCCAATCCCAAACTCTGAATTTATCCCTCCCCCAATATATATTTTTATAATATATCTAATATATTTTATATATTAGATATAATAGTAAATATATTATAAAAATATATTAAAATATATTTTAAAACTATTTTTATTATGGGAGATTTCAAATTTATATATGTATTTTTAAAACTTTTTATTAAAATAGATAATATATGTAATTTATATAAAATATATAATATTGTATGATATATCTTTATATTAAAATATATTGTAAATATATTAAAATATATTTTAAACTATTTTTATTATGTAAGATTTCAAATTTATATAAAAATAGAGAATAGTAAAATGGTAAAATAAACACATTTATATAAAAGTAGAGAGAATGTAAAATTTATTTACTCAGCTCCAACAATAACTAACTCATGACCAATTTGTTTTATTCATTCCCCAAACCAAATTACTCTTTTTTTCCTGGTCTTGTTTTTTTTGTTTGTTTGTTTGCGGTACGCGGGCCTCTCACTGTTGTGGCCTCTCCCGTTGCGGAGCACAGGCTCCGGACGCACAGGCTCAGTGGTCATGGCTCACGGGCCCAGCCGCTCCGCGGCACGTGGAATCTTCCCAGACCGGGGCACGAACCCATGTTCCCTGCATCGGCAGGCGGACTCTCAACCACTGCGCCACCAGGGAAGCCCTCCTGGTCTTGGTGACCTATAGTTTGCAGCTATATGCCCTACACACCACTTTCTTATTTCACCTACTTCCTATGTGGCAATTCTCTAGTCCAAGCATTTTATTAACCATGGAATTTCAAGGGCCAACACCCAGAACTTCTCCTTTTTTCCAAGAAGAAATCTTTATGTAACACTTTGTAGAAACAGTTGAAGGGGCCAGGGGTGACAAAGTTATGAGTACTTAAAAAAAACTTAGCAGTTAAGACTTCCTTCTGAAAAATTTCAAAAGATTTAAGTCTTTTGCTGTTTTAGAAAAAATGTGTATTTTAATTTTTTGACCAGATGATGCATTCAAGTGTGTTCATATATAAAAGTTACTATAGGTAAAAACTCTCTCTTCCCTGTCCTGCAATCACCTAGTTGTCTTCCCTGGGGCAGCTGACGTTAGGGAAGAGGGCAGCACATATTTTCTGTAAGGGATCAGACAGTGAACATTTCAGGCTTTGTGGGAAGACCCCTGTACTAATGTACCCTTGAAGAGAAATTCTATGCAAGTACAAGCACATCCTTACACAGTCCTCTTCCACAAATCTACAAAAACAGTGACATGGACTTGGCTTTGATCAGTTGCAGTAGGGCTTGGCATACAACAGACCACAGGCCAAATCCAGCCCATCACCGGTTTCTGTAAACAGTTCTGTTCGTGGTCTACATATTTCCTGTGGCTGCTGTCATGTTACCAAGGCAGAGCTGAATAGTTGTGACAGAGACCATATGACTCGCAAAGCCTGAAATATTTACTCTCTGGCCTTTTATAGAGAAAGTGTGCTCGTCTCTGAGTTAAACAACATGTCTTAGCCTTTCCACGTCTTACGAAAGAGTGTCCTCGCTCTTTTTTCACGGCAGCATACTATTTCATCACCTGGCGGCACCATAATTTATTTCATCAAATACTCCCAACGGATATTTAGATCAGTTCGGACCTTTTGCTGCTACACATGATGCTGCCATGAATACCCTTGTTCTTACCTCATTGTCCACATGTGTGAATATATTACAGGATGAAAACCCAGAAGTAGAATTACTCCATCACGTTGATAATTTTTATAGCTATTGTCAAATTGCCCTCCAGCAAAGTTTACCAACTTACGTTCTCTTACCAATGTTATGAAAGTGCCCATTTTGTCCCATTTTTGTCAGCAGAGTGTTATTAAACCTATCTGTTAGGTAAAAAGGAGCATCCCACTGTAGTTGACTTTGTATGCCTTTTATTCTGGTGAGTTGCATCTCCTTTCATGCATTTAAGACGCCTGCATCTCCTTTCTGCGGCTGGCGGTTTACTCTCCTGGTCTGATGATCTTCTGGCGGGGGGGTCAGGGATGGGGTGTGGTCCTCTCTCTCTGACTCTCTCGTGTCGATTTCACAAGTAAGCTTTTGGGGAACAAAAGTCTTAAGGACAAACATGGGGTGGGAATTCGTGCTATCTACATTCCAGACATCAGAGTTGGGGAGCCAGCGGGACACTGGAGGGGTGTTTCCGTTCTGCTCTGAACTTGGAAGGCTGAACTTCAGAGGGCTCAAGCTGTCCTCTTCCTCCACTGTGCTTCTGTTGACACAGGCAGCCTCATGCTCCTCCAGCTTTTTGATGGGGAACACGTGGCAGGCGTTGTATTTGCAGCTGGCCATCTTTTTAGCTTTTTTGGGGTTCTTTCTCCTGCATGATGCCAGGTGGTATTGAAATCTTCTGAGTGGGATTCGGTGTTGAGGGTTGTAAGGGCAAATTTGTAAGGCTTCTGGCTCCATGGGAAATAGTTCTTGAAGCAGAGGAGTCCGATGCCCGGAGTCAGAATGAAATGTCCTTCGTGGAAAAGCCCTTTGGTAAGAAAGACGGAGCAGTCCTCTGCCAGCGTTGGCCCTTGGAGCTCTGTTGGCGCATGTCAGAACAACCTGTGCTCCCTGCTCTTTGAGACCACGAGCGGTGGGTTGAAGAAGGACAAGGGGCTATTAGGAGCAGCTGCACAGAGAGCAGACAGTCATCAAATGGCACATGAGACAGAAGAACCACACAAAACAGATGCAAGAGCCCAAACCACAGCAGCCCCTCAGGCAGGTGAAGAAGGTATGTGGCAGCCCGCCCTTGCCTCTGACTCAAACTATGTGATGTCTCGGGGCAGTCACGGACAGTCACAATGGGCAGCGTGTGTCATCAGAAAGAGGCTGCTTGTTGCCCATCGCTTTCAAGGGACAAGGTGGGCTTGGGGGAAGCTGCCATTCAAAACTGTTGTCTTTTTCTTAAATTGAAGTATAGTTGATTTATAATATTGCGTTAGTTTCTGGTGTACAGCAAAGTGATTCAGATATATATATATCTGAATATATATATATATATTCTTTTCCATTATGGTTTATTACAGGATATTGAATATAGTTCTCTGTGCTATACAGTGAGACCTTGTTGTTTATCTATTTTATATATAATAATTTGTATCTGCTAATCCCAAACTCCTAATTTATTATTTACCTGTCTTTAAACCTACATGTTTAATATAATTTCTGATATATTTGGATTTAAACCTACCATCTTATTTTGTGCTCCCTAGCCTACTCTTTGGTTCATTTTTTTTCTCCTTTCTTCCCTTATTTTAAATAGACGTTAAAAAAAACCTTCCCATTTCTTTCACTATTTTGTAAGTTATGCATTGTAGAACTAATCCTTTCGTGGTTACTCTACAATGAAAACATTTATAGATAACTTATCAAGGCTTAAAGTTGATAAGTATTCCCTTCTTCCTGGATAATACAGGGCTTTTCCTTCATTTGCTTCCCTCCTGACTTATTATGTTATGTTCCCTGTATTTCAGCCTAATTTTAAAGGAAGCGTCACAAGATGGTATTGCTGGTTTGTTTACACTTGTGCTCACATTTACTTCTATCTGCTTTTGCATCTCAGACTCACCACGTGGGATCACTTTGTTTCTGCTCAAAGTTTTCTTTTTTAAGAATTTCCTCTTGACAAACACTTTCGATTTCGTTTGTCTGAAAGTGTATTTATTTCACCCTCCTTCTCGAAGTTATTTTTGCTGAGAGTAGTTGTGCTATTTTCTTTCTTCATGTTGAAGCAGAGCCCAGTTTCTTTCTAACTTCTATCCTGTGGTTAAGAATTCAGAATCCCATGGTTACCTCACTTTTTTTGAAGTGAATCTATGTCTTTTCATAGGTCTGTTTCAAAGAACTTTTCTTTATCTTTGGTTTTCCTACAGTTTCACTACGATGTCGACCTGTGGATTTCTTTTTATTTATTCTTTCCTTTTATTTGTTGGTTGGACCTCAGGAATCTATGGATTAGTGTCTTTCATTTGTTTTGGAAAATGGTCAGGCATTGTCTCTTCAATTATCGCTTCTACCTTATTCTTTTACTTCCACTGAAATGATAAATGCTCATTCTACTGACATTTCATTGTCCAAAGTGAGTTTCATGGCCACACCTAACTTCAGGGGTTGAGGAACTACAGGCCTGTCATATGCACAGAAGGAGGCGAATAGGAACTTTGACAAGAGTCCTAAGAATGTCCCCATTCTGTTCTTTTTGTCACCAGTATTTTTTTCACTTTTCTCCACACATACAGAGCATGCCTTCTCCCCAAGAGAGAAAACCCAAAGTCCTAGCTCAGACTTGGTGAAAAACGCTCAACCAGTGCTCACTGGGGGCTTCCTGGGTTCTGGCCAGGACCTTACTCTGCACTGATGGGAATCCTAGTGTCTCCAACGAAGCTAAGCTGTCCCCTGTGAGGAATGAGAGACCTGCAGAGTCATGCTTGCTGTATCCCACCACCAACTTGAATGTCCTATACACAAGCACGGCTCCTGGTATACTTTGCTGAGAAGGAGTCCTTGGTAAATTGTAACTTCCACACCATTTACGTGACAGCCCATTTCCTCTAAGCCTGCAACCCAGTATTGAAGGAACTCTTGGCCCTACTGGGAGCTAACTAGTGGTTCAGCATCTGCTCTGATGTGTCCCCAAAGCCCAGGATGGTGTTTGTTGATGATGTTGACAATGTTTTTTTGTTCCCAGTCCCATGGCCTCTTTCATGCTTGTGACCAGGGGTGGCCCAGACTCAAGTGATTCAAGCATCTGTAAGTCTGCTAATGGAGATGATAATGAAAGCATTTCTTCTGTCACTGAAATCCACATAATGAGGAACAGGGCATTAGCTGTTGTAGGTTTCTTTGTGGCCAAGGACCCATTAGCGGGGCAGGCTAACATTTAATCCATTACAGAGGGAGGGAAGGCCTGGCTTGTTAATGTTTTTCACAGACGTCTTGAATGGTCCTCCAGCCTGCAGCCTTCTCCAAGCATCTACTTCATGCCTGGGACCTGACAGGTCACTCACCATGGCAACAGGAGGGGAGAGAGGGATGCAGACACACCTGTCTGGGCAGCAGTTCTCAGGCCTGTGCATGTCAGAGACTAATAAAGCGAGCGAGGTCAGATCTGCTTTCTCTCCCTCCCTTCCCACTCTGATCATCTTGAGAGATGCTGCCAACAGCTGGAAAAGCAGGCATGGAGAAGAGGTCATAGAATGTGCAGAAACAATGTTTCCTGAAGATGAAAACTTGTGTGTCTTGGCCAGCCGAGTCAGCAATTATCATTAGGGGGTGGGATGGAGAATCAGAGTCACTATGAATCCGAATCCTTCAGGCTTGGAGAGAATTCTTTTTTTGTTTGTTTGTTTATTTATTTTGGCTGTGCTGCGCAGCATGCAGCATCTTATTTCCCTGACCAGGGATCGAACACCTGCCCCCTGCAGTGGAAGCACGGAGTCCTCCATTCCCTGGAGGGACCTCCAGGGAATTCCCTCGGAGAGACTTCTGATGACATTCAGGCCAGCTTCTCTCCCAGTGCCAGCATCCCCTTCCAAGCATCCCTGGAGGAAGATCATATACTGATGGGGTGCTTCCTACCCACCCCCCCGCCCCGAACTTTCCCTTGTTAGGTTTACACTATAGTGTGCAATAGTCACACAATTATGTCTAAAGCAACAATCTACATACTTTTTTTTTTTTTTTTTTTTTTGCAGTACGCGGACCTTTCACTATTGTGGCCTCTCCCGTTGCGGAGCACAGGCTCCGGACGCGCAGGCTCAGCGGCCATGGGTCACAAGCCCAGCCTCTCCGCGGCATGTGGGATCCTCCCGGACCGGGGCACGAACCCGTGTCTCCCGCATCGGCAGGCAGACTCTCAACCACTGCACCACCAGGGAAGCCCCTGCATACTTTAATTTAAAAGTACTTTATGGCTAAAGAATTCTAACCATCATCTCAGCCTTCAGGGAGTCGTAATATTTTTACAATAGTAACATCAAAGATCACTGATAAGACAGATCACCATAACCCATATAATAATAATTTAAAAGTTTGAAATATTGCCAAAATGGCCAAAACGTTACACAGAGACATGAAGTAAGCAAATGCTCTTGGAAAAATGATGCCAATAGACTTGCTCGATGCAGGGTTGTCACAAACTTTCCATTGGTAAAAAACGCAATAAAGCAAAGTGCCCTAAAAACGAGGTATGCCTGTCCCATGACCCTTCATAAGTAGCTGATCCTCAAGAAATAAGAGAAAACCTTAAAACAGGATTTTCTGAAATACGTTCTAGCTGCTCGAGGTGGTATGAGGTGTTGGGAGAAAAGGCTGCACTCAGGAGACACTGAGCGGGGCAAGGTCCATGGTGGTTCTGCCTGAGGACTTCTGGGTCCATGCTGGTGGCACTGGGATCACCAGAGCTACTTGCAGGACCCATGCTCCAAGGAATGTCAGCTTGGAAAAACTAAGTTCAGTGTCATAAATAAATACAAACAGAAAAGACATTTCATTCAAGCATCTGTAAAGAACTGACAGAAACGGATGCCATTCTAAGCCACAAAGACAACCTCCGAGGTACTAACAAGCAGTATTTTTCCAGCCACATTATCTGACCACAAAGCAATAAAAAAAAAAACAGAAATTGAAAACAAAAGGGTAAACAGAAAGAAAATTAAACCAGTTGGAAATTTATTCCTAAATAACTCAAATCAAAGAAGGGAACAAAACTGCAATTACAGGCCATTCAGAACATAATGACAATCGGAACTTCACATAGCAAAGCCCATGGAATGTAAACGAGTACTCCCATGGCTCTAAATGTTTGTGTTGTTAAATGGGGAAGACTGAAACTTGATGAAGCATCCAACTCAAGAAGCTAGAGAATAAGCAACAAGATAAACCTAGGGAGAGAATTAAAAGTAAAGGTAAAAATTAATGAGACGGAAAACATAAAAATCAGTAGAACTGGTAAATCTAAGGCTCAGCTACTTGTAAATTGCTATAAGACACCTAGACTTGTAAAAGCCCACTAAAGGGAGGGGCCAGGAAGCAAGTGAGAGAGAGGATACAAAAAAAGAGAGAGAAAGAAAGAAAAAGAAAGGAAGAAAGAAAGAAAGGAAGAAAGAAAAGAAGGAAGAAAGAAAGAGAGAAGGAAAGGAAGGAAGGAAGGAGGGAAGGAATGAGGGAGGGAGGAAAGAAAGAAAAGCAAAGGAAATTTAGCCAAAGCTGCAGAGTTTTCACATTACTGGAGCTTCCCTGGTGGTCCAGTGGTTGGGACTCCATGCTTCCACTGCAGGGGGCATGGGTTCCATCGCTGGTTCTGGAACTGAGATCCCACATGCCCTGTGGTGTGGCCAAAAAAAATAAAACAAAGAGAATAATTAATATATATGGTACACTAGTTAATTTGGAGGGTTCAATGGAGAATGCATGTCAACTCAGGCTGCCATAATAAAATACCACAGACTGGGTGGCTGAAACAACAGAGGTTC